AAGCTAAAAATACACCTTACATCCTTTCTATTTAATAATGCACAGGCTGATAATAAAGCTAAAACAATGTGATGGTTTGGCATCATGTATACATGCCTCCTACGTAGATTAATGTGACACATGTAACTGTTGAAACATTTCACCATCTCAAGTTTTTGCCTTAAATAGCAATAAAAAAATGAAGGCTGATTATTTTACAGAAGTAATTCATATAAACACCTGATGCTAGGTGACATTTAAACAGAATATCTCAGCTCATAAAATTTATTATTTCCTGACTTATAAGCAGTTGATCACAACATGCCTGCAAGTTTATGCCACCAAAATAGATTCATGCATGTACTTTCATTCTGACCAGATTCTATGCTGTAGTGCTCTTGGTGTTGCAGTTGTTGTATTTTACAAGCAGCTACAGATCTTGCAAACTAAGATAATTAGCAATTCCATCACACATTTGCCTTTGAAAGGCAGAAATGGTTGAAATATAATACATGTATATATAAAATAGACATTATTCTGTATAACATGACCAATAGGTCACTTCTGACTGTAAATTGTGCTCAAATTTGGGAATTTACCTATGAATTTACCTGTGGGATCATCACATAGATTTAAGGAATATCTACATTGTCTGTGTCTGTAACAACTGACACTCTCTTAACAACAATAACCATTTTTTAAATTTTTATCCCACAATATTTTCTCAAATAATTCTAATAAATAACAATAGTTTTAATAATTATTGGGTAACATTAAAGATACTTTTTTTCAACTGGAACAAGTAATCAGTCAAAAGAAAAATCTTAACTGCTGAACAAATAAATTTTAACAAATCATAAATCAGATATTTTCAAGTGCTATCTGCTGCAATATAAGATAAAGTTTTCCCCTATCTCTCAGACAGTTTCAGTAATGCCAGAAATTGTTCAGATCCATCCAGGAAAGACTTGCTGAATTTTATTAATGTTTCTTTAATTCTCACAAATCCGTCCCATATGTTCACTGTGAAGGGCCTATGATACATCACATGTTCCAGGAATTCTTTCAAAGAGTCTATGATTCTTTGAACTTTGAATTTACTCCCTCTGAGGATAAAATATTGTGTATGAAGTAGTAAATTTTACACATTTTGTGAAATTTGTAACCTCAGATGTAACACTTTCCTCAAGGAAATGAAAACAGTTCAGTTTGTAATTGTAATTATAAGGTTACAGAAATCCTGGGAAATAATCAAATAGGTGACGGCCTTAAACCAACATAACTGAACATGACCTTGATGCAACAGATTTAGTTAATATGTGGAAAGCTAAGACTTCTTTTTTATTTCAAATAGTTTTAACACTAACGCCAAACAAGTGAATTTTGGTATTAAAGTCATGTTTTAAAATTAAACCTAACAATTATTATGGTTTTGACTTCAGTATCAAATGACTAATTTGACCAACAACAGTTAAAGTGTCCGGTTAGAATTCATGACTTTATTTGACAATAACTTTACTACATTGAACTTTGAAAACATTGAAATTATTCATAAAATATAACCTGATATGATGAGAAGGTGTTCTCCTTTAGTGGAATGGTGACTCATATATAACATTAGAGATGGTTCTTTGTTCGTATCAGATGATAAAACTGTTTCCATATCGATTTTTAAACAGACTTTAAGTGAAAACCAAGAGTTATAAACAGAATTGCGTGAATTATGATATTAATGATAGAGGTTAAAATTGTCAGAATCTCTATAAATTAAATCAACATGTTTCTAATTTATTCAACAGCTTCTCAGTAGATAGCTACGGTGACAGGTGTTTTCCACCTACTCTGTCAATAAAAGATGTCTTTTAGTTTCAGTATTTGCTGCAACTCTGTATTAAAGGAAAATTCTACATAATTGATATTTATGTAATACATAATAGATTACTTTTGTAATAACTTCATCATAATTATTATCAATATGTTTCAAACAATAATTTCACAAGTTTTAAAACATTGTTTTTTCAAAATGTTCTATCTCTCAAAAAATATTCAGGTGCAATTTGAGATGAAAAAAAATGAAAATCTAAAAATGATATGTCAACACCCTGAGGCTAAGTCTTTCAAATTTGATAAAATAACATATTATGGAAAAATATTTCATAGTAAGACTATGCTGACAGTCAACACTGGAATTACAATGTTTCATTGAATAAGATGGACGACAAATGTAAATGAACTGACAACACATTTGCAATGCTGCTATGCCAGTTTCATGGTCAATGACAACACATTTGCAATGCTGCTATGCCAGTTTCATGGTCAATGACAACACATTTGCAATGCTGCTATGCCAGTTTCATGGTCAATGACAACACATTTGCAATGCTGCTATGCCAGTTTCACGTTCACTGACAACATATTTGCAATGCAGCTATGGCAGTTTCATGATCACTGACAACACATTTGCAATGCTGCTATGCCAGTTTCATGTTCACTGGCAACACATTTACAATGCTGCTATGGCAGTTTCATGTTCACTGACAACACATTTGCAATGCTGCTATGGCAGTTTCATGTTCACTGACAACACATTTGCAATGCTGCTATGGCAGTTTCATGTTTACTGACAACATATTTGCAATGCTGCTATGGCAGTTTCATGTTCACTGGCAACACATTTTCAATGCTGCTATGGCAGTTTCATGTTCACTGACAATACATTGGGAATGCTGCTATGGCAGTCTCATGTTCACTGACAAGATATTTGCAATGCTGCTATGGCAGTTTCATGTTCACATGGAAACACATTTGCAATGCTGTTATGTCAGTTTCTAATTATTCACTGACAACACACTGGCAATGATGTTGACAGATTCATGTTCACTGAAAATATACTGGAAATGTGCTGCTTCGCCAGTTTCATATTCACTGACAACACACTTGCAATGCTGCTGTCTGATTTAAATTCACTGACAGCACACTGGCAATGCTGCTGTCAGTTTCATGTTCTCTGACAACACATTGGCAATGATGCTATACTTAGAGCTGGGGCGAGTATCGGAGTACTCGGATAATCACAAATCAAAGTGAAAAATCGAGTTTGAATATTCGTAAGCCCAGAGATCGTGGATCGCGATTTAATTTTTTTATATACATTTACTGTTTCTCACACTCTTAAAATCGAGAAAAATACTATTTGAGTTTAAATTATATGATAATATGAAGTTTAACTAAATACAATTTGCCGGTTAAAGACCACTTACCATGATGCTGAGCTAGGAAGTAATTGGTTTCAAAAAACACAACAAAAATACTCCTCCAAAGAATAAAAACATAAACCTAGTTTATATGTTTAATGTTTAGTATTGTTGTTTGTTTTTCTTAAATAAACATGTTTTTATAACTAATGTACATGTTTTTATGGGTGTCTTGATAACAAAAGATTTGTGGTTCGATTTGTGAATCGTAAGTGCTGAATCGTGGTTCGGATCGGATCGTCACTTATCCGACGATCCACACCCCTAGCTATACTATATTCATATTCACTGACAACACTATGACAATAAACTGACATTACATGGACTATAGTTTGTTTGCTTATTTGGACCATTTTCAAATTTAATTAGAATACCTCAATGCAATTGGCCATAGATATTGGATTTGACAGTTCAATTCTTGGCTGTTGCAAATGTTATTTTGAAATAAGTCTCTTATGCAACTGAATTGTGACCTTATAAGTAAGATTATCAAATATCAATAAATACGATATTGTCATAACTACTATAATAATTTCATTTGCATCCTTCCTTCTCAATTGAATATGATACAATAAAAATTACAGTGGTGCAAATTACATCATCACACATACACTTGTACATATAAGGCTCATTTATACCTTTATTAATTCTCTGCACTAACAAATTAAATATTGACAATATCTATATTCAACTTGTCCATTATCAGAATCAGTGCAAGATCATTGGTCTCAAGCAAAAACAATGTTTATAAATGGTTACTATAGAAACCAGATTTCAATTAAATTCCCAACAATGTCATTCAGCTATTTAAAATTTTATTTCAGTTGTATTTGGATAAATTTCATTTGTAAATAGGTATCTTATATCATTGGGAGTTACAGTATAACATCAAGAGCAACACTCTTTGGTAGATCAGGATTTTGGTTGTTGCTCATAGAAGTGTTGCCATAGAAAAGTTAAATCTATTTCGGGACGAACTGATACTGTTGTTGTTGTTGTTGTAAACAGGACTTACTTCATTTATAAGTTTTTTAGAAATTATCTATGTTAGATTTTTTCTTTGAATTTCTCTGCTTAAAAAAATTGCAATAAAATAATATTCAATAGAATTTGTATGCATAAGATGATCTTGAATGAGTTCTTTTACAGTTTTTTTAATAAGTACTAAAATGATTTTCTAGCATATTGAAACATGGAGAACAGTACCAGAATGGACCTGGTGACTCTAGATCTTGCAGGACTGTAATACAGGTACAGAACCACTGATCATCTTATGACTATCATGCAGTGCAGCTCTTATCATTTTATGTCTACTTTGTTGAGAACCACTTATCACCTTATGTCTATTATGTCAAGAAATCTCTTATTATAATATGTCTTCTACTAATCATCTTATGTCTATTTTATAGAAAACCACTTATCATCTTATATCTATTTCTTATGTCTATTTTATTTATAGAGAACCACTTACTATCTTTTGTTATTATGCATAATTATAACCAGTTATCATCTTATGTCTGAACTATGTAGAGAACCACAGTGACTGATCATATTATGCTTATTATGTGGAGAACCACTTATCATATTCAGTCTATTATTTTAACAACCACTCATTATCTTATGTTTATTCATTCTGAACAAAATGGCAGTTACTGGCATACAGGATTAGTAATAGTAAAGATTCCAGTGCATACCATTTTTGACCTAGCCAAGTTAACCAGTCAAAGAACTAAATTATAAAGACCCTGAAAGGAATACAATAGTTACCTGATTCCATCACAAGTTGCCACAGCAACAGCAGACCATTCATCTCTCTTGACCACACCTTGATAGTAACATTGTTCTACAGTCTGAAACAACAACAACATTTATTTATAGTACATACAAGAACAAATATACGGATCTGTCTCAGTGGCCCTACAAAGTAGGCAAAGATGATGAGGAAGGTGCATTAGGGTGCATGAGCCCCTAATACGAATGACAGCTTGAAAGGTAGGCCCTTTGCTTGGCACCAACATTCCTTTTAAGGTCTACCTCCTTTTTCCATATTGTCTCAGGTAAATGTACAATTTGGTTCTGATTGACCATAGTACAGTGACAAAACGTTTGGCTCAAAATTTATATCTTTGGCTTACGCTCTATGGAAATTGCATGGAGGTACATTATCACCACTTTGTGCTTCGAAATTAAACCTTTAATGGCTTAAGTGGTGGCAAGTCTGGGATCCAAACTCAACAACGAAAGCTGCTTTTTTTACCTTAACAAGTGGTTGGACCCTCATTAAGCATAGACTACGCACACATACAATGTCACACCTGAATTTAACAATAGGGTTGCTCAGTTTTAAAACTTTGATTTTTTTTTATTTCTAAAATTTGTATTTTCAAAGCAGGACCAGCCAATTACACACATTTTACAGGGCAAAACATGGTTAAAAATTTAATGCCCAAACTGAAAATTATTAATCTTCATTCTTTATGTACCTTCATTTTAATCTAAATTATGTCACTATCAGCAGATAGAACAGGTTGATATAGCTGATTATTTAATCTATTCATCCATATGTTTGACCCTAAACCTTCATGAACCAACTGTGATTTTAGCATTTGCCATCAGACTAATACAGCAGTCCATTTTGACATGAAAATCCCTTTAACTTTTACTAGACATTTCTATATTAAAATCTGGGCAAACCTATCACACACATTCAGCCAGGACCCCAGGGCTAAAAACTACAACAGGTCTTACATTTCAGAACTGTCAGCCTGAACAATATGACACTAAATCTGATTCATTTATAAAAACTTGGCAGCCATTAAAAGTCAATTGACAGATAACAAAAAGAATGGAAAAATTTGTCAACTTATGATGAAAATTGTTTATCACTTGTAATAGAAAAGCTCAATCCCTTGAGAATTCTTTGCCTGGAAAACATTTTTTTCCATCATCAAAATCTTCATCTTGACTCATTTAAAAAACATTGTGTTGATGATCACAAATCACATTCTAACAATCCATAAATGATTTGTAGTGTGATAAAAAATCCAATAATACCATGTGCTGAGGGCAATTTATCACTGCTAATGATTTAACCTGTCACACATTTCCATGAACATTCTGATCTTTCTTATAAGAAAGTGCTGGTCTTCCTATTCTTGTTGATCATTGAAAGAATTCTTAGGAAGTATTATATGCCTGCATTGTGTATAAATTTTACTTTTTTGATTTGATTCTAATATCATATTGATACTGTAAAAATTAACTTGTAACTTTTCAGTTCAATATTAAATACAGAGCTACTATTATAGCCCACTGGTCTGAGGGTCACTGACCCTCATTGCCATACCTTTTAACTAGAAGGGGTTTTGTCTCTTAACTAGGCATTGTACTGATCACTCCTGTGAAGTCTGGTCGAAATTCCGCCAGCAGTAATTGATCTGTGAAAGCCAGATAAGATATTTTTATTTATAGCTCTGGCATCCATTTTGTGCAGTGAAGCGGAACAAGCCGGTAATATGCACAACTGGGGATGGTACTGACCACTCAAATAAAGTTTCACTGAAATTGAGCTGTGAAATCCAGACAAGCTTAATGCAGACAGACGTGAAGGCAAAAACAATATGTATCCCAAAATATTTTGGGAATAAGGTAATGTCAGGAAGCTTATCCAGTTATCTTGTGGAACGTCTATGGTCCCTCTTTGACATTAAATTATTTATGTATTATTTTATATATGAAGTGGCACCTTACAAAAACTAAAGTTGGAAAGTGGTCGTATGATGTCTAGTGTCAATGTGACCATCAAACTTGATTTCTTTTTTCAGCAAATGATCTTAGATCTTAGATTTAGGGTTAATGTCAAGAAGTATCTACGAGTTGTTTTTTCCTGCCTGACAGTTTATAAATTGCTTCAGCAAAGTCCCCGGATGATCTGATATCTTCATTTCTTCATACTGTTTCAGCATATAAACATTACTTCCATAATGGGAAGTGAAAATAAATGTTCCATTTTAGATGTATGGGAATGTTATTGGTAAAACACTGCTATTAAAATTCCATCAAACAACGGATGTACTGAGGCAACGTAATGAGGAATTGTCCCCATGAGAACAGAGTCAAGACTTCCAGACTCCACTACTCCTCATAAAAATCTACAATTCTCATTAAATCAACAAGTATATGATTTTTTTAATCGACTGATATTCAAACTAACTATAATCAGTCAGTAATTTTCTAAACCAGAACAAATTTGAACAATGAAATGATGAAAAAGCTCCCCTTTATGAAATTCAAAAGTATAATCCAAGTGACAACATTCAAGCTTTACTAACATAGGAAGAACCCAGTAGATGACTATCAGTGCAAAAACATTCAGAACAATCCTGCTGCTGTGCCAAGGTTCAAACAGTGTCACATTTTGATTGTCAAAGGGTGGGACAAAATGGGAAAGCCTGAACAAGACTTGAACCTAGGACTATTAGAATATGCTTCAACTGTTTTTATGACTACCAAGCTACACAGCATCTTCTGATATAACCAAAGGAAGTATACATAAATAATAAAACATTTATTATTTTAAATATATCAATATACTTTTTGAACATATTTTTGCATTAATTGCATTATAAATTATATATCTCACTCAATATGCCAGTCTGTCAGGATATTTGGTGACTGAGATAGATACATGTATACCTCTTGTAATTGTACTGATTTGATAACCTTTAAATTTGACAGGAAATCGAAATAATTTAAATATAAGATACTACTGCACCATTATCTGATACACCTGGTCTTATAGGAAAAGGACTTCACAGGAATCTTTATGTGAAATGATAACAAAAATCCCTGACTGGCTATAATATGCAAGGTTCCTCCCCCCCACACACACTTACTCAGTTTGATTTACAGACGGCATAATGTAAATTATAAACTAGCTAGAAGTAATGTGTTAAGTTTCAAATAAATAATCTCAGTTACTTGATAGTAAAAATATTTACAGAAGATTTATAATACTACAAATAAATCACAAATGAGACATATTTTCAAGAACTATACATTTTATCATAAAATTCTAAGAAAAACAATTATGAAAAATATACATGTATATTGTTGATGATTATACAGAATGACTATATTATCATCAAATTAAGAAATTGATTGAAATAGCTGGTCATACATAAACTTGATAAAGTTATGCATTATACAATTATCCATTGCTGGTGGTCAGTCTTCACTCAGGTATTTATGTAGGACTAAACAATTGAGAGCACCTGATGTTTATAGATAGGATAAATTGTTTTAATTATCACCAATTATCTTTTATTGTAGAAAATCAGGGGGAAATCATAACAATGATTAGTGTTTATTGGGGAAGAAATTACTGCACAAAGGTCACTTGCCACACAAGATACTAATTAGTTCTACTAAAATATATGCAAATGTATAAGCATTAAGCTCAATTACTGCCAAAGAAATAGTTTTTACATACAAGGATGATCTTTAAACCATTTTGCTACGAATGATGAACATGTCCGAATACTGACAATCTGATAACGTCTATCACAGAAATTTTCTTAACCTGACATTGTCTTATTAATTGCAGTCATTTAATTTGAAACTATCAAATGCTTATGTTTCCAAAATCAACATTCTATGTAATTTAATTTAAACTTGTGGCAATTAGGTTAAGTTATTATTGCAGCCTGAGCAACAAGTAGTCACCACCAGAAACCTGTGAGTCTTCAATTCCACCCAAACATCATGGTCATCTCTCAAAAACATGATATAAATAACAGATAATTTTGTCTTCCCAGTAATATAATAAATTATTTGGATGGTCATGCAGTTTTTTGTTGAATAAGTAAAATACCTACAGCCTACAAGAGTTCCTGCAATCTGTATGAGTACATGTCCCTCCACAATTGGTCAAGTAAAACATCAACACCTTACAAGTTCACTATGCTAATATGACAGGCTAAAACAATTCTTTTATCCCCCAACCACCTATTACTGTAGATAATTTTGATATTGAATATTTTCATACTTTGAAAATGGAGCTAGCCAAAATTATAATACAAATGTAACAGGTCAAGGACCAATGATACACTTCCATGACTTTTTTTTTCAGACTAGAGATTTTACTGCAGGTAGTAACATAAAGCACAACAGTATATGTAATTTAAATGCAATTACCGTCTGATTTAAATGTGGCTTATCAGTTCTGCCAATTTAGCTTCAATTAGTAACTCGTGCAACCACTTATTTTCTGCTCTATTAAAATTCAAGTAGATTGCTTTTTTATTATCCTTTAACAGGTACTCTCAGACTGGCTAAGGTTATTCAATAATGAACATCTCTGTGAAGATGCCAGTATGAAATTTTTAAGAAGTAAATGAGATTTTCCTCAACTATATTACAATATATTCATCACAAAACTATTGTAAGACATGTTATTTTAAAACTACAAGTTACCTGTATTTAAATTATAAAAAAGATTTCTAGTTATGCTTCATTATCTATTAAACAAAATCAAATAAAATGGGTGCGCATAAAAGTGTATCAATGTTTTAGACCCTTATAGAATTAAGACAACCCTACCCTGCTGGAACGAGAAGTGACCTAAGCCTTTGCCAGGGAATTCAGACAGGCTAGGAAACAATCTGGTCAGCCTGCTGTTTACTTTTACCTGACAAACTTTAATTTTTTATCTTGATGTCCAAAAATAGTTAAACGATATGCAGCTGAATAAATGGAAATAAAAGTGCAAGTTAAGGGGTAATGTCAGCCACAAAAGGGGCATGTATAAGAAATTTTTTACAGCATAATATATACACTGATACATGGAATA